ATATATATATATAGTTCATAGACTTGTGTAATTGATGAGTTTTATACTTGAAACGTGATCAAGTGAGTGATGTTCAAAATGTTCAGATATGAAGAGAAACGTGCTTATTTGGCGTAAATATACATGTTTAATAATATGTAACAGTAGTACTGTGGTTGAGTAGTATGACAAATTGTCTCCTTTTCATTTCAAAGTGATTTGAATATAGACGATAGAAAAAACTTTGCTGTTGCCACTTTTTATTTGGCAATTCATGTTAAAGATGATATGCTTCGCTTACTACATAAACATGATTAATTAATAATAGCTCAGCTTATGATTACTGCTTGTGGGTGCTTTGTTCAGAACTTAGGTTGGGTCAAGTGAAATGAACTATTATGGCGGATGGTTACTGTGTTCTTCAGCCTTGACCCTTCTTTGCTACTGAGTGCTTCTAGAACCACTCAGTTCAATATCCTCTCATATTTAGCCATATTTGCTGGATTTGTTACAAAAGTGCAGTTTCTCTGTATGATATGTTACTGAATTTGATGATGTCCCCTAATGTACTAGTACCTAAACAAACAATATTTACTAAGCGGTGGTTACTCGTAGATACATAAAGTCAAAATAACTAAAAGTTACTAGTTGTAAAACAAGTTTTAACTTATATTTTAAAGTATAGATGTGGTTCTTTTGATAATTGTAACGATGCATTTTCCATTACGCACAACCATGTCTTCTAGATTTCTTGATCTCTTGTCCAAAATATGAAGTTGTCAGAAGTGAGATTCGAACCCACGCCTGGAGAACCAGACTGCGACCTGAACGCAGCGCCTTAGACCGCTCGGCCATCCTGACTTGATACTTACATCGATGAAATTTGTGAAAACCTGTCATAAGCCTAGCTGCTCGCCATAGGAGGCCGAGGTCAACACACTTTTTTTTTCTAACGTCTAAAGCTATCTGCCAGAAAAACATGAAGAAAATGTAGCATATCCAGAACAAAAGATACAAAAAAGGACGCTTTTCTACAATACAATTGACTTCCGCTAGAGGGCCCCAAATCGACCCTGAGCATTTTCTGGCTAACCAAAACGTACCCGCACTTTAATTTACTATCGCGAACTTCATAAAAGTGTGAAACGTCTACTTTGTATAATGAAATCCTGGGTTACGCCTAGCCTGTATGTACCAAGCTTCCAATGTAACAAAATATTACATACAAAAAATTGTAGAAATTGGCTAAATAGACATGATAGCATGTTAGAGGTGCTGGTGCCCTCTAGTCGGCTAACTCCTCTGGCATACTATATCTGTCTACTCAGCCAATTTCTTCTATTTTTTTTAGCAACCTAGGAAGGCTGGTACAGGCTACATGCAATTAGCCTGGTGTCCAGCCTTGTAAGCTCTAGTCCGCTCCCCAAGATCCGCTCCCCGGCTAACATACAATCTGTAGGTAAATGCTGCTAGTAGTCCTCGCTACCACTAAAATGAACTCTCGGTGGAGCCAGACAAGGAACCACCAACAGTACGTTGTTTGACCAGGAACCGGTGTAAGTACTGTACCGGGATGTGCGTTACAGCTGGTCACACCCTATGTGATACCGGATAGAACTTCCTGCAAATTTCGTGGGTCAGACACAGCTAGCCTCTACCAGGCTTCGTGAGACGGCTGGAAAGAGTAAAATTTGACCAAAACAGAGAGACAGCATGCCGATGGAGTTGGTCCGCTTTAGAAGGATTAGAGTACAGTTTGCCGCATCCGAATTTACTCTCTAGCGGACCAACTCCCTTGGCATGTTATCTCTATATAGTATTTGGCCGATCTACTCGTTCCAACCGCCTCCCGAAGCCTGATATAGTCTAAAGGCATAGCCTGTTTGTTACTATGGCTATATAGTATGATCGCTGATTTTGCTGCGGTTTATTTTCGGGGCCGGAGGGGTTGTACATTTGTACCAGTCGCTTAGCGTGTATCTGCTTGAGGATTGTAAGAATATATATTATCATAAATGTGAGCAATTGATTTCCTGTAGCCAGAGTTCAGTGAGTACACTGATCACTGTAAAGACGTCAAACTAGTACGTGTACAATGTCACGTATGCCAGCCCCTAGGAATATCGTGTTGCACATCTGGGGCCCATTAACTCCACTTGTCTTTCACGGTTCAGCCAGCAAGCTAAGTTCTATCTAAAACACGCTGAAGTAGCCGTTAATGTTAAAGTTTGGGTACCAATTGTCTCAAGTTGGTTGCGGCGCGGTCGCATTCATCGTAGGACGTCTTAATGATGTCGCATTGAAAGCAGGTTAAGACAGAACAAACCGCGCGCCGACAAAAATCTCAGTGAAACATGCCACTGCTACTGAATGCCGGTTGTACGACGCATGTACGACTATCCCAAGGAAGGATACCAGCTTGCGATCGTGCGAAGATCGTGCGACGATCGTACGACTTATGTGTAAACATACGGAGCTATAGCTAGTCGTTACTATGTATGCATTGCCTTGTATTACGCAAGTGGTGCTATGGCCTATCCTGGTTGTTATTCTCTACAGGCCGGACTCAGACCTATGAATTCTTACTAGCTAAATGCAAGAACATTCCATCTGGCCTGTCTATCGCCGTCCTTGAAATAAATTAAATCCGGCGGGTAGCTATGACCATGACTCGCTAGCCTGCCGGATGCCAGTCAAATTCTCCGAGTTGATGTTGGAAGCCAAAAATTCTGCTTGCAGTGACCACGGAGTAAAAATTAACAAGGCTGGATCTTGATTGCAGTTCTAACGTTTTGATCAGATATTATAATGGCATGTCCTTTGCTTATAGTACAATGTATCAGTATTCTGACTGTACTTGATTGACCAAGCCTGCTTGGAGGCTATCACAGTCCAGCTTATGGCGTTATTTTTCAAATGAACCAATCATAATGAAGTCATATTTTAGGGAGATTTCGAAAGGAGAAATATACCATACGGTTACCGGTAGAACTTGGTACACATTTTTTTTGTCACAAAAATGTCACAAAACCACGTGTGAAAAAAACCGGACACAACATCTGCTTGGAGATCAGTGAAAGTTGAGATAAGGGACACCTGTGAAACAATTATACTCCTATCAAGGACGTAACAACGACTGTATCCGCTTGTATTACCCTGTTCAAACAACTGAAGTGCTCGATTTAAAAGCCGGCTTGAAACGTGGCGTCAAGTTTCTTTAGTTTGCAGAGTCTCCAAGCAGATGTATGGGTTCGGATTGGTTTACTTACGTCCTAGCGTTATTTTGATCGTGAGTAGAGACTAATAACTCTAAATTTACTACAAAGCATTACAAAATGTATAAAACACGCAGAACACTGCATCTGCTTAGAGATTAAAAATCCGATTAAAAATCCTCTGTTTTCTTGGTATTCCCCAAGCAGAGGTCAAACTTGTTTTGGACGTTTCTTATGCGGTCTCATCCTTTTTGTCGGGCTTTGTACTTTATCAGCTTTCTTTTGGGTATCCTGAAGAAAATCTGACAGAATACATAGCCCGAAAAATCGCCAAAAACGTCCATGATTAAAAACATCCAAACCTCTGCTTGGAGAAAATGTTCTCGGAACCTGAGACCTGAAAACACCCCTGCGTGAGAATGGACTCTCCCGGCGACCCCCGCTGGACCAATCAGAGCTCTCCACGCGCTGGACGCTAGGGTATAAACGCATGCGCCCTAACAGCTGCCCTTTTGCCACGTACTTCCTTCAGGTCCAGTCAGATCTGTCTCCCAGGTACGACTTTTTCACCAAAAATGAAGGTTTTCGCCGCAATTTTCGCCACTTTCGTGGCCCTGTCCTTGGCAGGAGACTACACAGAAGAGGAAGACGTCCTGGTTTTGACCAACGACAACTTCGAGAAGGCGATAGAGGAGTTTGAAAACATCCTCGTCGAGTTTTGTAAGTATGGACTCCATCACCGAGCATGGTTGTCGTGTTAGCTCTAAAAACTAACTATTTTGGTAAAACGTAAAAGTATCTAAGTATATTACATGTTTCCAGCAACATTTAGGGTGTTGCAGGGTGTTTTTCTGCACGTAAATCCTTTTAAAAGTGATCCATATGGCTACAGTACACCCAAGTTGTGGGGGAGGTGGTTTCGACATCAAACTTGTTACACGTCATGCTTTAGAAGAGCCCGATTTTTTTTCTACGTGACACACGTGAAATGATTAATTTAGTATGCTCATCTCAGCACGATTTTCTAGAAAATATCCTATTATTAGCCTAAATTGTACGAAATTCCACGAAAATTTTGGTCATAAAACAGTATTTTAGACAACGAGGAAACATCTTGTGCATGTGACGATTTCTCCAGCACCTAAAATTATCTATCATACGGTAAAGTACCGGGTATGCTATGCTCGATTTTGTTGAATGTTAACTCGAAGATTTTAAAGATACTGTACGTGTCTCATTGTTATGTCTAGCAGGCCATTATATCATAGAAGCAGAGAAAAAATATGGCTGCAGAAAGATAATTGTTCATCCTGAATTGTGAAGCAACCTTTCTGGTAGTAGTGCTGAGATTGTCATGTCATTTGGGTCCATTCTGAAGAGACATAATTATAATAGAAACTAGAAACGGGCACAAAATTCTGTCATACTTAACTGTAAAGTTGATGATAACCGTAGAATTATATGTAGACTCGAATGCAAAATTATAACTGAAATATAATGTTAAAATGTTGAAAAATGGGTAACCATGTAAAATGAGTGTCCGAAAGTTTTCAAAAGTGAAATTGTGCTATTTTTCATAACGACTATGCTTTCCTTCGAATAAAAAAAAGTAACTACATTTTTGTGTAAAACAAAGGGCTGTGACTAAGACAAAGGAAATTCCTTCTGATAGCGGTGCACATGTTTGTTGTACGCTAGAACCCGTCCACGTGTCGAGGTTTGGGCGTACAGTGTGTACGTGTCAGCCCTGTATCCTGTTTACCCTTTGGCAGGTGTGTTTGCAACCTCCAAGCCGTCAACAAGGTCCAACATGCGAGCATGTGATCTAGGGGAGGTCTGATTGGCCGCGAGAAAGAGTCTCTAAAAGTTAGAGTACGTGGAATATTGGTGGGAATTGTACCACATGGTTAAATGTACAGGAATTTAAACACTTATCAGGGTTCTTGTACTAAACAAACACCATTATGATGAGAAAGATTACAGTAGTAAAGGAACAAAGGAGCTACATGGTAAAATGAAGTCAAGACTTAAAAGAACAAAAGAGCTACATTCAATGATACCAAAAATGAAAGATTTCAAATGGTTTTGTCACTTCCACATGTTTTAAAATTTGAAGACTAAAGATTTTTTTTAATTTCCATGTTTTTTGAGAATTTTCATTGTCATTTCCTGTATATTGAGACCTTTGAACCTAGAAGCTTTTCCAAAAATAGCTCAACAATTGGAAAATTTGAAAAGGCAAAATGTCATATTAAGGCCACATCCTACTTGTATTCACCCAGGACATGAACATGGTTTTCTGAAATACTTTTCAAAAGTACTATGAAACCCAGCCCCTTAGTAATAAACTGTTGTATGTTTGCCTTGTTCCAGATGTGCCGTGGTGTAGAAACTGCATATTCCATGTAACATGCACCATTGCAGGTTTGCAGAAAAAAAGGTCATTTCGAGCCCTTCGTAATTAACTGTTGGACGAATTTTGTCTCGTTCCAGATGCGCCGTGGTGTGGACACTGCAAGGCGCTGGCTCCAGAGTACGCCAAGGCCGCGGGAAGTCTGAAGGAGAAGGAGTCGGCCATCAAGCTGGCCAAGGTGGACGCCACCGTGGAGTCCGACATCGCTCAGAAGTTCGAAGTACGTGGCTACCCCACCATGAAGTTCTTCCGCAACGGCAAGCCCATGGACTACGGCGGTGAGTTTTCTACAATATACTTACTTACTTTCTACAGCATATCATAGGGAAAAGGGGGTTATATCAGTGAAACAGTGGTGTTAAAGGGGCATTATGGAACATTTTTGCACCAAGAATTGAAATATTTAAAGAACAATTAAGCCCATGGGCTATGCCGGTAAGTTTTCTACACTGTATTATGTGTAGTGTACGATGGGAAAGGGTATGACAGTGAAGTAAAGAGGCAGCTGTTAAACACACTCATATTACATAAGGTGGCACATCCACTTCCTGATTTGAGGTGCATTGGGAGGGAATTCAGGAAGTGGAGGATAGTACTTCCCGGAAGTCTCGGGTTTCTTGTTTTGATCAGTTTTTTTTCCCTCCCTTATTGAGTTATTCATGAAGCCAACTACTTTGTTAGTTTTTGTCCTTAGATAATTATATATATCAAATTCTATCCAATAGCCTTTAGGAATAAGGGGTTAATATTTAAGAATTCATCCAATAGCTTTTAGAAATTAGGGATTAAAATTCAAGAATTCAGGAAGCCAAGGATTGCATACTTCCAGCAGTCTAAAATCTCCGGTTTGTTGTTTTGATGATGATGAGTTTTGTTTTTGTTTTTCCTGCAGGCGGTCGCCAGGCTGACCAGATCGTGACGTGGCTGGAGAAGAAGACCGGTCCCCCCGCCGCCAACCTGGAGTCCGCCGAGGCTGCCGAGAAACTGAAGGAGGACAATGAAGTCCTGGTCGTTGGCTTCTTCAAGGTGAGAACGAACATCTGTACAGGTTTTGAAACATTACTTACTTCCTACTTTCAGATTGCTGTCAAAACTGGCTGTTTATTTTAAAATAAAAGGCAAGCAGTTAGCCAGGCCACCTGTACAGGGTTTGCTTACATTTTGTGTATGTCTTTGATGACTGCATAATCATTTACTTTCAGAGATTTGAAGAATCCGATGTGATTTCAGGATGGCAAAACATAGACTATTTCTTAGAATATTGTCCCAAAATATGCTACTTTTTTTTGGTACCACCAATGAATAGCTAGAACCAGCATAAAAGAATGATGAAACAATTCATAATGAATTTTTTAAATTGAAAAAGCAATTAGCCTTCGGGCATGATTTTGCGAATAAAGTTTCTATTAACCTTAAAACTTGCCAGCAAATTGCATCTCGCACGTGAGTATTTCTAGCCCTGCAGGGCAATTCAAGTTCCAAGGTCAAATACATGTATTTGACATATCCCAAAATTTGGTTTCCTAGTGGAGGTTACAGTTGGGTCATATGTAAATCTTAAACCAAATCAGATCAAAACCTTCTCCTTGCTGCCTAACTTGATAACAAGTACAAATTTGTTGTCAAATGGCTGCCTTAGCATGCTGAAGGTTAATTTGAAAGTGATGTTTTGTCTTCCAGGACCAAGAGAGCGACGCTGCCAAGGCGTTCCTGGAAGTGGCCAGGTCTGATGACGAGACGACCTTCGCTATCACGTCCACAGACGAAGTCTTCGAAAAGCTGGAGGGCAAAGATGGAGGTGTCGTCTTGTTCAAGAAGGTACAGACACGCTCAAACCTATAGTACAGTTGTTCAAACATTCCCCATGATTCCTAACCTGTAACCAATAGAGAATTGATAGCCAAGGAACTGCAGTAGCTCTGTGTGCTAAACATTAGAATAACTTATTCTTACAGTGCTTATCTACGTGCGTTTTTATGAGTGTTTCTTTCCAAAAGTATTTGATGGGTGGCACTGGTTTAAGCTAAGTTTGTATGTGTCTTGTCCTCAGCAGCATGGAATGGAAGTGAGTGGACAGAGATTCAGTTGAGAAACAGGGTTGTTACCTAGTATGTGTTGGGTCGAAGGAAGTGGTATTAGACTTAACACTCAGGAATTTAATTATGGTATGGAACATAAACCATGTTGTAATACCACAGTGAGTAATATCATACTTTCCAGAAGTCTAAAATCTTTGATTTCTTGTTCCAACAGTTTGACGAAGGGCGTAACGACTATGAGGGAGACATCGCTGAGGAGGAGCTGAAGCAGTTCATCAAAGGCAATAGCCTGCCACTGGTGGTGGAGTTCACAGAATCGGTACATGGTCTACATCTGTCTCTAACTACAGATATAGGGGCTAATATTTAACACAGCCTCAAAATAAGGGCACACAATGCTTTAAGAGGTTTTGCTGAGGGCAGTTCCTGTTTTTTGCTGTGGGGAACACTTTTTTCTTTGACATAAAACGAAAACGAGTGCAGTGACTTTAGTATTTCAGCTCTGCAGAACATCTAAGAGAAAATTAACCTTAAGTTTCTATCACTAGGAATAAGGAATGAGGAAAAGCTGTATAAAAAGTATTTTTTTAAATTATTTTCATCACAACATCTAGATTTTGCTTGGTTGTCTTAATTCTTGTATTGGCCATCTTCTGAACTATGCATGTGGTTTTGTGCATTTTGCATTTTTTTTATAAGAAATACTCTGAAAGATATAAACCATGTAATCCTAAACTATTGGTGCAAAAGAGTATTCTTTCATTCTTTCCTCTGGTGTAAAACTAGTTTTTTGATATGTCACCTGTTATAGCTTGTTTATAGTATAATGTTGATTAATAACTGTTTCCATTATGTCAATTGTAGACCGCCCAGAAGGTTTTCGGTGGTGAAGTGAAGAACCACAACCTCCTGTTCATCAGTAAGGACCACGAGAACTTTGACAGCATCTTGGAACAGTTCAAGGGCGCTGCTGCCGACTTCAAGGGCAAGGTATGGGAAGATGATTTCTATCTGTACAAAATGTCTTGTTAACAGTGACAATATGTGTCACTTCTGTAAGATCCTGGGCATACAAGTCATACATTCACGATATGATCAAAAATCTTTTTGCATTCTTGTGATAGGAATGCTTATGGCTTGTAAAATTCAACGATCTGAAAAGGTTGCCTTATATCGTAGGCAGTGATTCATTCTGTCTTGAAAGTTTTACAGCATCAATTATTTTACAAAAGCCAGTTGGATTTTTTACAGTTAAAAGTACAAACTGTTTTTCTACCCTGCAAGCTTTTTCTTTCCTTTCCTTTTCTTCTCTCCTCTTTCTTTTTCATCTCTCCTCTCCCCTCTCCCTTCTTTTCTCTAATCTCCCCTCTTTTCTCTTTCTTTCTCTCTGACAAGACTTTCCCAGGGTTTATATCACACAATCCCTATGTTAACACTATCACAAGCTACAATGCTGTATTTTTTTGGTCTCCTCCCACCCAGGTTTTGTTTATCTACATCAACGTTGACAACGAGGACCACGCCCGTATCCTGGAGTTCTTCGGTCTGAACAAGGACGAGTGTCCGCAGGTCCGGCTCATTTCTCTGGATGAGGACATGACCAAGTACAAGCCTGAGACGGAGGAGATCACCACAGACAACATGAAGGCCTTTGTGCAGGGATTCATCGACAAGACAATTAAGGTAGGCTGCCACACAATCTTACATTTAAGAAATAAAGACTAAGCTTTAACTTCCAACACTTAGATTACAGAATTGGGACTTACCCCAAATTTTTGGTTGACTCCATCAACCTCACGGAATGGACCCGTCTACTCTCCGAGTCAACCGAAGATTAGGGGGAAGTCCCAATTCTGTAATCTAAGTGTTGGAAGTTAAAGCTTAGTCTTTATTTCGTAATGACTTGTACCAACACAAATGAACTTTCATGCCAACTTACATTTAACTTAGGATATACATTCTGTACCTCTGTTCAGGTTGGTAGAAGTACCCTTCGGTGTAACACACCAGGTTTGCAGGCACATGTCATAGCGGCAGCCAGCTATATTATTATGACCTTTGCACTGTAACCATTGTTTAAGGCTATCTAGTGATGATACCCCTACTGTTCTTACATAAGTTAGTGTCAGCATGTTCCACCCTAGGCAGGAAAAAAAGATTTTTTGGATAACTCTGGTACTTGCAGGTACGACTGCATTGTTGAAATAATTTCCAATCTAAATATTAACTACATGTAGTAGTCATGTCCTGCCAAAAACATTTCCTGAAATTACTATACAGAATTTTAGCAAAATTGCTAAAACCACATTTAATATCTTTGTGTAGACAAAATTCTGTATCGGTATAGCCAGTATAAATGCCCTTCGGCGTAACACACCAGCTTCACAGGCACGTGGCGCGGCGGTAGTTGGCCACATTACACCAAATGACTTGTTACACCTAACCCTTGAACATCTAACTCTAGAAACATCTAACTCTAACTCTGGTTGACTGGAATATCAGATGCGCCTAAGATTAAACATTGTTCTTTTTGTTTGTCTTTTGTAGCCTTTCTTGATGAGCCAGGATGTTCCAGAGGACTGGGATAAGGAGGGAGTGAAGGTTCTTGTGGGGAAGAACTTTGCTGAGGTTGCGTTGGATGAGAACAAGGCCGTGCTGGTTGAGTTCTGTAAGTTCAACTTTTTTTTTTTACATGTCCTGCTTTCTTCCTACAAACTGAACACATCTTAAACTCTAAGTAAAGATAAAGCAGGCATCCTCAACTGAATTGAAGCATATATATGTACTTTTTCAAGTAGCTACTTCTGCAGCTTTGTAAAGATTCAAAACCCTAGATTTAAAATTGGCACTGTCTTGTGAGGAAAGTCATGTCACATAAAAGATTAATGCACAAATTCTACAGTGAAGTGGAAAAGGAGTAAGATTGAAAAATGACTCACTACAAACCTTAAAATGTTTAATTTCTAGATATGTGGTTTCACAATTATCCCTCCATCAGGAATTCATGACACTGCAGTTTCCTATGTAGTACGTACAAATGTATATCATTTTGCCACCAACTATAAACCTCCTTTTCTATTGTTATATGAAGTTCCCATAAAATAAATTTACGGTTACTGGGTATCAAAAACACATCATTCTATCATTTCCAGATGCGCCTTGGTGCGGACACTGCAAGCAGCTGGCCCCCATCTACGACGAGCTGGGTGAGAAGTTCAAGGACAGTGAGGACATTGTCGTCGCCAAGATGGACTCCACGGCGAACGAAGTGGAAGATGTTAAAATCCAGAGCTTCCCCACCATCAAGTATTTCCCCAAAGGAAAAGATTCCCAGGTCAGAAAATTGGGAGAGGTTCATTCATTGATAGATGTATCTCGTTTTTTTGTGGCTGAAAATATTTTTGGGTTGCCAAGTTGTAGGTTTGTGTCTCTGTCCTAATAGCTTTGTATATGTAGCGTGGTAGGTGGGAGGTAATTCTGACAGGTGATTGATGGGGTGCTCATGCCTGAAGTTGCCCCAGCACCTGCTGGGTGTGAGTGAGTGGTATTTGGAGGAAATCAGGAAGTGGTGTACACATGTAAATTAATAGTCCTTATTAAAGTATATCATACAGTCCCCTTTATTGTAAAATTTCTAGTTATTTTTCTTCAATTCAATTCAATTACAAAACGTTTGTATGTATGTACAGTATTTAAGCTTAATTAGGTTGAAAAAAATGGTTCTGCAGTGGTCGAAATACTTTTTTTCAGTGCTCTGCAATATTGCAGAAGACTCAAAATTTTGTTCTGCAATTTGGAAATACTGTCTGCAAATACACAAGACTCTATACTACAATGTTGCAAGTTTATAAGCATGAACTATTGATTGATATGCAAATTAGTGAAGACAAATTTTTGGAAGTCCTAAAGGAAACAAAAGATAAACAAGTCAAGACAAGGTTGATGTAAATTAGTGAAGAAGCTCCTGTTGTTTCAGAACAAGAGCTTAAGTGTTGTCTGTCCTTGGGGCCAAGAGCACCAAATCCCAAGTGCCAATTTTTCCTGTTGCAAAATTGCAGATTGTATAAACTTTTCTTCTGCAATGTTGAAAATCTATCTGCAGATTGCAGACTGCAGACAGGTATTTCGAACACTGTTCTGTAAAGAAGTGGCTACAGCATATTGCCCTAATCATGCTTTTTTGTTAATGACAGGTTGTTGATTACAACGGGGAGCGGACATTAGAGGCCATGGCAAAGTTCCTAGAATCAGGCGGCAAAGAGGGAGCAGGGCCAAGTGATGAGGTAAGACATGGTTATGCTTTATTAAACTTAACAAATGTGCTTGACTTATATCAAATTCACATACTGCTTGGGAATGGAGAGTCAGTCAAATCTAACAACTATGCCCAGAGGTAAAAAAAAAAATAGCTCATAGCTGTATTCCTTAGTGCAGTACCTACATGCATTACTGAGACTGTACCCTTTGATATAAACAAAATACTGTAATTTGTGAAACTTTTGTGCTTTTAACTCATGGGATTTTTTCATGTTACAAATTCGCAGTTTAAACAATTCTGTAGTAGTCATACAACTTACACAAGTTACAAGAAAGACACATTTGCGGTGAGCTGAATTCGCAGTAGCGAGGTCAGGGCAAAAGTGTGTACCTAAACCATTGCAAAGGTTTCACGATTTACAGTACATGTACAGTAGCATCATTTAATACTGGTCTATAAATTGAATACTGACTGAGCTAACTAACAAGGTCCTAAAACTTAGCAAACTAGGAATAGCTACTAACCCTTAACATTTAGTTCTTGGTTCTCTCGAGTTATTAGTGTATGTATGTCAGGGAGGAGGCCTGAACAGCCCCTGACAGCAAGGTAGTGTGTTCCTTAGGCTACATGTGAACTCACCATAACCAAACTGTGTCTTCAAAGACATTCAAAGTCTAATACTGGATAAATTACAGAAATTACTACTGGACATTCGGAGTGACTTCCGTCACTCTTCTTCAGTGTCGCTAGAAACAGTAAAATTCACTAACCTTCGTCAACAAACCAAGTGTATTTTATCCTTAATAACACTAATCAAATTTCAAACCCGTACTTTGGGAATGGCTTTCTGACTTGTCCCTACGTTATTTTGTATTTAAAAGGAGGAAGGTGATGAGGAATTCGAAGGTGATGAGGAATTTGGAGACGGCGAATTTGATGATTTTGATGAGCAAGACGAAGATCTAGATTGGGTTAGTGTAGAATTTGTTGCCTAGCAACGGGTCACCTGTCCAGGTTGTCCTCTGCACTGCATGTCTTTCCTGATTGGTTGAGAAGTAGGGTAGTGCGTGGTGTGGTTACCATGGCAACTAATGATATGCGTGTGTCACTAACATTACTGCCTGGGCCTAGATGTCACTACTAACAAGTAACAACACATTGGAGACTGGTGTTACGTGGTGCTAAATGGTTGTTTAACGTGGTGCTAACATGCTTCCGTATAGCAAAACATAATATTGTAATATTGTACAATGCTTCTGTTCGGCACTTATAATACGAAAAGGGGCATACAAATGTAGCAGATTCTTTACTTATTTTATTTTAGAACAGAAAAAAAGATATCCAGTGAGGTTGTGGCAAAGAAATGCTTGTAAAATCTATGGTGAATTTAAGTTTTTTTTCTTCCCCAAGCCTTCTGTCAGATTCATGCAAAAGCACTGTGACTCCAGAGAACAACAACACTAACACTAACATGAACAGTCATGTATTATTTCTGATTTACTGGCATACAATATCATCACAACTGACAAAAGTTAATTACTATTTAATAATACAAAACCTTATTTGAAGAACAAAACTTGAAAATTGCTATACTGTACTTGTAGTTACAAATGAGATAGATTAATGCAATGACCAAATGATTTGTTGGAGGAATATATCCCCTTAATGTATTCCAAAAAGACTATGTAAACTGATTGTAATGATTCAGAAGCATTCAACATGCAGTTGCTTAACACTGTATACATATAAGAGGGTCTGCATGGGGGGTAGTGATTACGAATTACGCGAAATTTTTGCCGCCTATTACGAATTACGTTAAAGTCTCAGAGCTGATTACGACTTTACGATTTGCGGCTAATGTCCAATTACGAATTACGTTGATTTTTGCGGAGGCTGCCTACGAATTACGAAGTCTAAAACGGCCTGATTACGCCTTACAAAAAAGGGCTTACAGACCCTCATATAAGCCCATTTGGGCTGGGCGATGTGAAGTTGCAAGACGCAATAATAAACTTTCATTCATCCATTCATATGAGAACCTTATTCGACACAACAACATATAGTTCTGCTTTCTTTACTAACCTTTTTTTTACTTCAGTAGTTTCTCCAGATTTCCTGTCCTCGACTCTGAATTATTTTCAGTTCAGGATTCTCAGTCCTTCCTCTCTACAAAATAGACTGTAGAAGAATGATGTGAGAATAAGGAATCGCCAAAAAGCAGTTACTCAAGCAACTGGATATGATTTTGGAAACGTCAAAATCATATCAAAATCATGACATTTCCAAACTCATATCCAGTTGCTTGAGTACAGTAACCGTTTTTTGGCGTATCGTATTACCTGGATGTCTAACCTTCATCGACGTAACGAGAATGAAGATTGTTTCCAAGCAGGTAAGACTAACTAACGACATCTCTGTATGTCTCTTCAGGAACTTGAAGAGGCAGAAGACGCAGATGCAGATGCAGAGGGAACAAAGGACGAACTCTGAGCCCCTCACCACCTCCAGTCACCAGCTGTGCAGCTCCAGTCATTCCCTGTACCCACCACTCCCCAGCGCCCCCTTCCAACACCGCGACGAACTGCACCCCCCATCCCTCTGCTGCTGGTCTAGTCTTATGTTGCACACACACTGACACACACACACACTGTCATCAACAGCAGAGGGATTGGCTGTGCACTTCGTCTGGCAGCAACTGGGTTTGGATTAGCTACGTTTCCGCACGCTTTTTGCTCCACGTGACTTTTGTGCAGTAAAACATGGGGGAAAAGGCAGTGTCATGGTACTGTACTCGGTTTTAGCTGTGAGAGATTATATAAGAATGATGATAATAATAATAATAATACTGTGTTCTGTTCAATTTCTGCTTTAACAACTTGATACTAGACAGTTTGATTCTGGGGAAAGATGTACGTAATGAGGCATTTTGTCAATTCCCATGAAATAATAGATATGCTTTAGGATAGGAAATGCTAGCTTTTGGAGTATATTTCTACGTCAATTATTAAGAATGTCACCCTTGTGTCATTACAGAATAAGTATATAAGATGTATAGTGAAGATACCCTTATGGGAATATGTAACATGCCAGGAATTTAGGCATGTGATTCTGACTTCCAGACTGTTTAATTGTTTCGTTTGGTGCCGTTATTTTGAACAAAGCACTTCTTATGTAAGTGAGAGCTTGCGTTTGTGTGATGTTCACTGTTGTAACGTTACAGTTATAAGATATAGACGACCTTTGGCGTAATTTAAAAGAGTACAGTTCTAAGTGCCATGCAATTGTTCTGTCCAGGCGTTCTGCCCAGTGGTGAGTAGTATATGCTGAAGAGTCCAGGTCACATTTGGTGGGAGGACCCTGGACAATACAAAGAGGTTATGTTCCCAGTTTTAATCACCCCCCCCTGCCCTCTAGATAGGTGAAGGAATATAATTTTGTTGTCAAAGATTTGTTATAGAAAAAAATTCATATGGTGGTGAGAAGCCAATAACGGGAGTAAAATGGACGAAATGTGTTCATCCTTTAATGTTGTTTACCTTAATATATATTATTTTATTACATGTGTATATTGATTTGATTATATGGATGACATCCGTGTGCGCATGAATATTCGTCCCTTTCCTAAAAATAAAAGTTTTTGACCATACTGTAAATCGTAGAACGTATGTCGTATGTTGCAAAAAAAAAAAACTATTGGAAAACGATACTAATGTCATAGAATGCCAAAATTCAGGAAAAGAAGAAAATGTGAAGAAACGAAAATGAAGAGCGTATTATTATTCGCTATACCATACTCTGTGTTCAGTCACTTGTTCAACCTTTATGACCACGTAGATAACATAATGAAGGGAACTTTTCTTTTGGCCAAACATTTTTTCTATTTCGCATCAGTTTTATGGGTTCTCAAAGGATGTCATCCATATAATCAAATCAACATGGCCTAAACAACATGAACAACGCACAAGATAGTGGTGAGCAAATCTAGATTCCCCAGGTGATACTACATACCAAGTGACAGATTGGTAACCTTTCAACACAAATACTTGTGGCTTTAGTGGCGTCTGTGTGGTGTAGTGGATAGAGCGTCCGACTGTCAAGCAAGAAGACCCAGGTTCAATCCCCAGGGTTGGACCCAGACATGTCCGGACTTGCACCCAGACGTTGTGCCCTTGGGAAAGGCACTTAACACGCATTTCCCCCCTCAGTTAGAGGGTTCCTGGGCCCTACTAGGGTTTGGGTTGGCGTTAGGAAGAACATCCAGCCGTAAAAATCTTGCTTTTAAAAAAAGGACTTGTACCTTGTGCAAGCGCGTCTAACCCCCAGTTGGGGGAAAATGACGTTAAATTCGGTTAAAAAAAAGGTTAGTGCTATAGCTCAGTCAGATCGAGACAACATTATAGTATACTCTAATGCGAAAGCTTCCAATGGTTTCCCGTCCAAAGTAATTCGAGTCTGCCTGTACCACTGAAGAAACAGCTCAATCACATGCATAAGTCCTGTATAAGTACATGCATTGTGTCTAGACACATGATTACATGTCGTCTATGTGACATGTAATCACTATAATAACTATAATGATTATAATAATTATAATAATAAAAGTAGAAAACAAATATAATGGTAATTTTCTTATGCCGATCGTTAGGCCATGTTATAAATGTGACCTAATTACATGCTCTTTGATCTACTCTTTAGCATGTTTGTCGAAAGTAAAAAATAAGAATAAACTAAAAAAAAATAAAAATATAAACTATAATGATATGTTTATGTTTAACGGCGTATGTCGGTCGCGCGAAGCAAGTGTTCACCAAAGAACAAAAACATGGCGATGTCGTTCTCTTCCACTTACCGAAGGAAAACATATTGTATTTGCTCTGTTTCTTCTTCTCCAAACACACAATAAACATCGATATTTTCGTAATTAATGTTAGAGCCTGGAGGAAAATGAAATTCAGCATGCTGGTAGGTTGGTACATAAGACACTAAACGCGGCCATTTTAGCCAACATAGATGTCAAAAAATGATTTTATTTGAAAAAAATGGGTGAAAAAAGTTGCATTTTAAGCCAAAAATCGAACAAAAAGAACGCGTTTGGAACAATAAAACAACATTTTAAATTCCCTGTTCGAAAACCGCGGGTCAATGACCCCAGCGCTAGGAACACCCGAGATTTCCAAATATGGGCATCCGCCCTCGTATGACACGAGAAGAGATCAGGTGGACCAATGTCAGTGGTAAGTTTTCTTTTTTCTTCGTAAAATACGGCCATATGAATACCAGTCTCGAGTAGAGAATGTTGCATTGGGATTTTGGGTTCAATATCCACAAGTAGGACTGCAGATTTCCACAGAACGCCGGCGACTTTGTGTAACGTTAACTTTTTGCATGTCACCGCCGGCTCAAATAAAAAAAAAACACTCATAATTTACTAGATCCTGACTTCATAGAATCTCGTATGTATAGAGATTTAGTCAACAGTAAACAGAATTGTATTCATCCGTAACTATTGTCGACTTTGTAATGTAGGTGCGGGGAAAGGGGGACGTTTGTTTACGTTTATTACTCATAATATAACATGGATATAACATTACATTTTGTCGTTTTGTCAGACAGTTTCAATCTTTTTCGGGATAACACAGTACAGTTCATGGGATAAGCATCAAATCGGGATTCATCGCGGGATTTTTCGGGAACCACACTAAGATTTTTACAGACAGACGGTGCAGCGCATGTTTGTTTACAAATTATGCATCCGGATCCGTTAGTGTTTTTAGTCAAATGTTTCTTTTTTTAATATCGAAAATTTTAGTGGCTTAATAATGTTTAGAACGATAACAAAATAATACAACCTTCTTGGCACGAGAATATCTGTCTGACCTTGCGATGTGGACGGCCCGCTAATTAGTAGGGAAGAAAATACGAATGTCAAGAATTGTAGCAATTGTGTCTACTAGTACTTAGACTGACGTCCTGGGTTTTTTTCGTCCTGCCATACGATTATTACACCTTGTGGCGTACTTCCAAGGGTTTGCAAGCACAAGATTATGGAAGTCTTCAAAAAGAAGCGGTTAAAATGTGAGCACAACTGATCGATGTATTTTTTCTTACCATTTTCGCTACATGTCGCTAGATGTCACTGTTGACATGTCAACCTGCTGTATACCACGTTTATATACTTTCTATTGTGGTGCTATACTTCAAGATCATAGTTACATTATTGTTATATAGGAAATCTGCCAACAAAAGCCTCAAGTTGTCTTAATCAAACAATAACTTTATCTAATTATACGCATATATGCATATATTATACTCATATATCATACGCATACACATGTATGTGTTGATTTAACATAAGCAATGTGCTATTTACTTAAAGATCGCAAGATGTAGCTTTTGACACAGTAGCCGTGGCGACACTTCATTCGGTCTTACATTGCATTACCCTCAGCAAGAGTCGTGGAAATATCCATTGGCAGAACTGCGCATTGGAATATTTAGGCCGATCTGAACATCGGAAACCCGGCCAATTGTGGTTTTACACTGTAGGGTAGCTCGGGACAGCAAAAACCTGGGGCGAAAACGGAGCATCGGGCAGCCAACGGGAAATGTGCAGTTCTGCCAATGGATCTTTCCACGACTCTTGCTGAGGGTAAGGCCACACCGCCTTAATTTTATGGATGACATCCGCGCGCGCATTGATTTTCGCCTGTTCTAAAAAAAAAAGATAACGTCCTCCGAGGCTCTGGCCTGGCTGTAGGCCTGGGTAGTCCATGACAGCTAGCTACAATACGGAGCCGGTGGTAACTCTTGAGGACGGCACCCAGGCTACCGAAGCTCCACGACTCTACTTGAACTCAGTATATACGTACAGTGCCGATTCATAAATTCCGCAAAAAGCCAGCATGTGCCGGCTTGTCGTATACGTCACTATGTACTGCCGTGAATTCACAATACCAGCTTTGTATTCCTGTGGTTTAGTAGCATTTTTATTTTTGGCCGGAATTTTTTTTTATTCGCCCGCGCGCACTTATTTGTGGGTCTTCAGAGGATGTCATCCATAAAATGTGGCCTAATGCAATGTAAGCCCGAATCAAGAGTCGCTACGGCTATTGACACCGCTGTGTTCAGTCAGCATATAGCTATATCCCGGGTGTAGAACGTAATACTGTCAGGTAAATGTTTTCATCTTCACGCGATACAAAATATCAAAAATTAGAAGGGTATTAGAAATACAGTCACAGGAAAGCAGTAGTCTAGATGTAGATGTTCGTTCTCTTAATCTTTCACTCTTTAAAAAACATTTAGTTAAGTTAGTACGTCCTCCCCTCTATCCGCATTTTAGCCACGGCCCCCGGTACCCCTGCGCCCTCCTTACTCGACTCCGCATTGGGACCTGCAGCTTAAATCAAAGTTTATATCAACGTAATTTAGTTCTTAGTTCGGCCTGTACCTGTGGGTCTAAATGCGAAGACATTGTACATTTCCTTTTGCACTGCCCTGTATACAACTTGCATAGAGTGACCCTTCTCAGCAACCTACAGAGCCTAGCTATATAGTAGGCTCTGCTTTTGACTTGCACAACTTGTCTGACCAAGCCAGTATTAATCTTTTACTGAGGGGTTCGCCCCTTTTACGTCTTGATGTTAACACTACGGGAAAGGCAATCAATGGATAATTGTGGTTCGGCCGGCTGTTAAACAGATAATCAGACTGATTAAAAAAAGCGAGAAGTTGACCACTCTGTATTAGCTCAGTAACTAGAACACTTTGTATTAGCCTAGTATAGTACCTTTGTATGTTCCTTATGTAGTATGTATGTCTAATTCAAGTAGTGTATCTTCTGTCTTTTCTACATGCGTTTGTTATGTGTCTGTAAAGTCTTGACCTGTACCTAGCCCGTCGTGGCATGAATGTATAATAAAGGTATTTCATTTCATTTCATTATCTAACAAGCCCACTACATCCAGACCACCGTAGGCTCCAGGTATCCCCACGGTGCTGAGAGCACTGTCCGCCCGCCCAGGTACATACGGACGCGCCGGGGGCCCGGGTATTTTACAGGTCGGTTTCAATTAGTTCCCCTCTACATTACTGCAAAAATCATTAGAAAGGAAATATGAAATCTGGCAGGAAAGGCCTGTGCTGTATAGCCTCGTATTTCAGTCCATCTGGGCCACGGAAACACGTTGGTGCCCCACAAAACGTCTGCTTGGAGATTAGCCATCACAACTGAACAATGAATGACGACCTTTATTGCACATTTTTGCCACACTGGGCTAAGTACAGGTCAAAACAAAACATGATGAAAAGATATATACAAGATAAAACTAGCTACCATTACATAAATTCAACTTCTCGCTTTTCAGTTATAGTAGAGATAAAGGAACAGATATGTTTTTCGATGGAAGGTTTGTCAAGTCGCATTAGGAATATGAATTTTTCTACAGTGCTCAAGTGTATGAAGTAAGGAAATAGGTTTTGTACAAGCCTATACAGATCATTTCT